CTTGTCCTGAAAACCCAAGTCGCTCGGAATATCTTCCAGTCACGTGGCAGCTTGACTTTGATTGGCTGTGTCGGCTGTCGCGGGAGGGTATTTGGTAAAACGTTTTACATTGTAACCTGCACGGTGATCTCACCCGAAAGACGGCGATAATTGTCATTCTCAATATTTGGTCGTGAAAAGTCCACGCGTAAAAGAGAAGTTAGGAATGGTGTCGGAATTAAAAAAAATCGTTTCCATATGAGACGGAGAGCTCGAGGAGAGTAACATTTGGGGACGTGACAAAGAGGAAAACGGAACCGGGGCCATGTTTTAGAGCAAACGCTGCATGTGGTGCGGTGTGGCGTCAGACATCCATAATTAGTTCATTCCCCTTTCACCAGAGAAACCGCTGACTTGATTCACGCCGAGGATGAAATGTCTTGCCGTTTACTGCCGAGTAGAGTAACGTGCAGAGAGGTGAGCATGCGCGGAATAAATGGCAGTCCAACGATCAGTCAGTTGTGTGGTTCTAGATTTGATGTTTTCGTGACTGCAAGGATTTGTACTATTTAGTTTTTTCAGTAAAGTGACTTAGGAATAAATAAATAAATAGACAACTAAATAAAATCACGACGTTTCGGAGGCAGCGTGTGTGTTGCGGAGGCAGCTTGTGTTGCCTCCGAAACGTCGTGATTTAGTTTAGTTATTTTTTCATTTTTCTTTTTTACTTAAGTGACTTTACCGAAAAACCAAAGAGCACTGCTGTGTGGTGATGTCATGGTTTGCCCAACTCGCAATTCGACGAATCGTCACCAGTCAGGGCGGCGACTCATTTGAAGATTTGGTTATTCCTTTTTAAACATTTTACTGAATCTAGTGGTCCCTTACTGACTAGAGGGGGGGTCATTTTAACACACTGCGTACACCATATTCAAATAGAAAAAACATAAATGCTCGCATACGAGATGTGACACTCGTTTCGTTAGCCTGGAAATCGGTAATAATCGGTGTCAGTCGATGCATCCGTACACCCAGGGGTGCCGCGGTGGCTAGGAGATGTTAATTCCCTCACCTGGTATGCAGGAGGTCGTGTGTTCGATCCCGACCCTGTGACGCCTGTTGTACATTTGGAGTTTTCATCTTCTCCCTGTCGTCGCTTGGATTTTTCTCCGGGTCCTTTGGCGTTTCCCTCCAACATTCAGGATTGACATCACGCGTTTAGACTAATTTTTGGCTGCTATAAATTTCCACATGATAAGCCACTTCGTTGAGCTATAGATTGTTGTCAGGTCGCTTTTGAAAAAGAGCTGCAGTCACACCTCGGTATTCGACCGCTTTGGAATACGTCGAATTTGGTATACGTCGTGTTTTGACGAGAAAAAAATGTCTTGGGATACGACGCACTTGCTTGGGATACGACGTCTTGCTTGGGATACGACGTCTTGCTTGGGGATACAACGTCTTGCTTGGGATACGATGTCTTGCTTGGGATACGACGTCTTGCTTGGGATACGACGCACTTGCTTGGGATACGACATCTTGCTTGGGATACGACGTCTTGCTTGGGATACGACGTCTTGCTTGGGATACGACGCACTTGCTAGAACTTGTATGGGTCAGGATGAGTCGCCGCGTACCCGCGTAGAACCCATTCACGACTCAAACAAAGCGCCGCTCCTCAGTCTGCCTGTACAGTTGATCTTGTTCAGTGCACAACCCTTAATTTATTTAAGCATTTTTTTTAATTTATGTATGCATTTTAGTAATAAGTAGTGTCCAAATTATTTTATACAACCCCATTAATGTATAACATGCCATATAAAATATAATTTCTTAAACTCTGGAACGGATTATTTCCTTTCCCTTTATTTCTTATGGGAAAAATTCGTTTGGTGTCTACGTCATTTTCGGTATCAGTCCTACCTTCTGGAACGAATTAACGACTTATATCGAGGTACCACTGTATATTGCTCAGTGGGCCTTACCTGGTATAATAAATAAAAATTCGTTTAAAAAAATACCGTTGAGAAATAAGTCGGTAACTTTAATAACCACGTGTTTTTTCTTCTGTGTGACTGTCTCGCCAAGGTGTTTTCACCTTGAAACGGGTTCAGACAGAAGCATATTTTTTGACGTTTCGCTGTAAAACGACACCCGAGTCCAATTGCCGACCAACATACAGGAGGCTGACTTCATAGGAGCGGATGGCATGTGTTGGCTGAAAGGAGACTTCAAGCATTTGTAACATTTCCCATTGCTACGGATCTCTGTGAAGAATGTGATTTCACACGCAAGTCATGACTCCTGTTACGGAGAGTTGGGCGCCCCGTTGTGACGATCTGTGGGTTCGTGTTAAGCCACGGTCCTTGTCTGCCGCTCTTCAACGGGGTATTCTTTACACACGAGTTATGTCGATTATATTTCATACGTGAAATGTTAAAGTGTAAAAATAAACTAAATAAACTATGTCAAAAAATAGTATATGAACTATTTATTTTTCGATTTAAAGCTTTTGTGACTGCAGGGATCCATATTCTTGGTTCTTTCGGTAAAGTTACGTAGAAGGGAAAACAATAAAATAATAAAAATAAAACATAATAAAATACAATTTTCACGACGTTTCGATTGCAACACAAGCAATCATCATCAGGTGTGAAAAAACACAGCAGCCTATTTTATTGTTTTCCCTTCTACGTGACTTTACCGAAAGATCCAAGAATATGGATATTTTGTTTTACTTTTTCAGGTAAGGCCCACTGAGCTACATAGCTCTTTTTCAGAAGCGACCTAGCCATCACAAATTGGTGCTCAACGAAGCGGCTTATCACGTGGACATTTAAAGCAGCCAAATACTCTAAATGCACGTTTCTAAATGTGAAGGGAAAAACCGGAGGACCCGGAGAAAAACCCACGTGACTACGGGGAGGGGGAGAGCGAGAGAGACACGCAAACTTCAAATATACAGCAGCAGGTGTTGGGGTCGGGATCGAACCCACGAACTCCTGCATACCAGGCGAGGGAGATAACATCTCCTAGCCACCGCGACATGTTAATGTAAAATTAATGAGCTCAATAAATTTTCCAAAGGAAACAAAAACATGAAAAACGTTGTAAATAAGACTACATAAAAAAAACACGTATTGTGACTTCCAGATCTTGACTCGTTTAACTTAAATCGATGGCTCGGCAGGTTGGGTGAGAGACGACAAATTCCCGGACGGAGAGAGCCGGTATGACGGCGGTCACCTGCACACAACGTGAGGTTGCGCCGTGGTGGGGTGAGAGGGGAGAAGGGGGTGGGGGCCTTCGCTCGGCCTCTGCAAACTCTGCGAAACCGCTTCGTCGGTTCGCGCCTTCCTCCGCATGCGCTGATTCACTCCGCCCTGGAACAGGATATACGGGGGTTGTGGCGTGTAGACTGGCGAGGAATGACGATCCCCCATCATTTCACCAGATGCTTCCGATGACAAAAACGTCCTTCGATGTTAGCGAGCGCATTCGCAGGCAGGAGCAAGCGCGCGCGCGCGTGCGGGGGACCTCGCTGGGGAGATGGGGAAGGGCCGAGCGATGCAAAAAGCACATGGTGCTCATGACTGTTCTGGAACTTTGCTACGCAAATTACACACTCCCAATAGAGCTATAGACGCTCGCTCAACGGGGGAGACACCTGCACCGTATAACGTCACCAAGCATAAGCCAGAAGTGTGTGATGGTATGTCTCTGTTTTTGGCGTCAGTGTTGAGCAGGTAACGGCACATCCTTGCAATGTTTCTCTCCTGCCACTGCTGGCGGAAGGACCTCCATCTCGAGCGCTGCTCTAAAGAGCCGTATTCGAGGATGGTTTGATTGAAGGTTTAAACTTCAAATCTAGAAGTGATTGAAGGTTATACGTTGTGAATGAATAAACTATATTCTTATGCATCCAACCAGAGTGCAATTGCGCTCTATAATCGGTGCATATTCATAAATTAGGTGTGGCAGGAATGATTGACCACTAAGTCACCTCTAGATGCGTTCACCTAAACCTTCTACAGCACAATTGGCGTTGGGGAAACGTGAGCTTTGGATTTCCTCCTCTCGCCGCTGCGAAACGTGGTAACTGAGAAAGCCACGGGGATATTTCCGTGCGAGTTAAGGGGGTGGGTGCCAGGGGGGGGGGGCATGGGGGGCAATGGAGACTTTTACGAACGCTCGGTCCCAAGTTCGTGCGCCCTGTGAGCCTGAGCGTCCAGACTGGACAGAGAAGAAACGAGGGTATGTATCCCGCCATGGTGGCGAGATGTTAACTACCTCGCTTGGTACGCGGAAGGTCGTGGGTTCGATCCTAACCCCGACGCCTGGTGGGTTCAGTGATGACGTCATCTTGCACTATTTAAGACCGGAAGTTGGTGGATTGCTTCACTATTCTGGCAAATCGCCCGATGACGTTGGGTGTAATTACCGGCGAAACGTCACGTTACTCGCATTGTAAACGTCGTGGATTTACTCTCCAACCCACCGGTGGGCTGAGGTAGTAAACGAATTGGCGCGTTGTTTACGGGACAAACCTTACTGGCTGTGTCGGGTGGTGGAGGGTTACGACACAAAAACCTTCATTGTGAACGGCAAGGGGGGTGCGGCACCGCTCACTCTTGATAGTTCCAATGGAGATTCTCGCATTCTGTGACGCCGAGAGCGCATTTTGAACTTTGACTTCAAACTTCCGTGACTGCAGGAATTCATATTCTTGGTTCTTTCGGTAAAGTCTCGTAGATAGAAAATAAAAATCATAAAATAACATTTTTATTTTTTTATTTTCTATCTACGTGACTTTACCGAAAGAACCAAGAATACACATTTTGAGCGTACGGGGTGGTGGTGGTGGTGGGGGGGGGGGGGTGCAAGCTTGTGGAAGACAAGCGAGACGCGGCGTGGTTGCTTGTTATGCCGTCGTGCTCATTTCCGACGACCTATTTCTCTCGTTTCCTCGCTTCTCCTTTTCTCTCTCCCCACCACCCCCCCCCCTCCTCCCCCGGGAGCAGAAGATCCGCTCGAAGGTCGAGCTGGAGGTGTACGAGCAGCCGGACGACGTGGTGCTCTCCTTCACGGCCGTGTGCCAGAACGGCACGGTGAGGCCCGGCCAGCGGCAGTGCGGAGGCCTCCGCGTGAGGGACACGGTGAGAGCCGCCGTGCGTCCCGCCGTGCGTCCCGCCGTGCGTCCCGCCGTGCGTCCCGCCGTGCGTCCCGCTTGCGTCCCGCTTGTGTCCCGCCGTGCGTCCCCCCGTGCATCCCGCCGTGCGTGCCCGTGTCCCGCTTGAGGCCCGCTACAAAAATCTGCGCTCAATGGCTGACGGAGCTTGCGGTGGTCTGGCTTCGTCTTTTTGCGGAACGCCTTTTTCCCCCGGTTCCGTTAGGGACGGTCCCGTCAGTCGAGGTTTTCGGCGCACGTCTGAAAAACCGCGTTTATTTTCTCCTGCGTATCCGTCTGTGTAGGGTTGGTTTTTCTTTTGGTTTTAATGTTTTAGGGTTTTTATTTTTTACTGGGATTGTATTGTAAAGCAGCGCTGTGAGGTCTTGCGTGAAAGTTGCTATATATATAAAACACTGAGTTTTACTTATGATTCCAACGCACTGCTCTACGGGACGTCTGCCAAAAACATTCTCAGGCTGCGGTGTGTGCAGCATTCTCTGGCACGGGGTACTGCAAGGTCCGACACCGTGTCCGTCTCCAGTGCTCGCTGAGCTGTATTGGCTTCCGGTAGCCGAACAAATACGTTTCAAGGTCACACTCATTACACACAGAAAGTTCTTGCCTCAAGTGACCCACAATACCTTGCTGAGCTCGTCAAGGAGCGATAAACCACCACGCGATCTCCGTTCATCCATCGCAGCAGCTTTCGGCTGGCCCATCGAACAAAGATGGTCACCGCATGGCGCGCTTGCAGATGCGCTTCTACGGCCGTCTCGAGCGCTCTTGCTTCCGATATTAGGAAGCAAGTGGAGCTTTGCACTTGTAAGTCCTCTGTATTGGCAAACGAATTCATTTACCACTGCTTTTTGTGGGTTAGTTTGTGCGTTAGTTTGTTGTGGTCCTGTGCCGGGCCAGCCCAGCGTGGGTCAGCGACCGTCATCTGGGTTTTTTTCCCACCGCAGAAGCTGACCTGTGCCGCTATCAACGTCACACTCGCCGAGTGACACCGTGGTGATGCTTGCGTGTCCTCACGGCTTGCCGACTTGCGGCGCGTTGCAGTGAACGGGTCGAGATGCGCGTAGGTGACGCCCGATGTCACACGCAGTGAAGGAGTCGAGGCACGCGTAACTGTTATAATAGTATTGGCGTTTATCCAGGAAAGGCTCACGGATACCTCTTTTAAATGATGTCGTTTATCAACGGTCATTTGACCGGAGCATTTTTTGAAAAAAAGTCGTTTTGTAATTTGATATAAAAATGAAGGGATGTCTTGTTTCAACTTGGCTTCACAGGAATGATCTTGAAGAATCGGTGGCCCTTAGCGGGTTTATTTTTGTCCTTACCTCATCTAGTCTCTTTCCTTCACACAAATGACGCGGGTTCCCTTCTTTCAAGTACGCTTCACCTTACTTAGCCTTGTTCACGACTGTTAAGGTCAGACTGTGGCTACATTATACGCACGGCAACCATCACCCGCTGCTGGTGAATCAATGCCCCAGGTGACTTGCAAATTGAGACGAGACGGGCCTGTTGAGTTCACACCCGGTTAAACACGAAATAGCATTGAAACCTGATCAAGACGTCGTTTCAACATTACCACCGTAATACATTTTGATGCCGTTGAGTCATAGCAACAACCATCCATCACCCACCGGGGGTTTCTGTGTTTCGGCACAGAAGCGTCACGTGTAGCTCAGTGTTTGTCGGAAAGTACTTCATCATCTCTGCTGTGACAATCTAGGGTTCCATTGCCTCAAATCTACCCTTTGTATTTTAGCGATTGAAATCGTCGCTGTTCCCGTGTGCTCACGCTTAGTGAGTCTCTCAGGGAGATAACTGAAACGTTATGTTGGGTTGTATACGTGCCTATATGAAATCATCCTCTGCATATAATCTTTACGATAAAAAATAAATAATAATTTTTTTTTATCCTGGAGAAATCCGATGAGCTATGAAGCGATTTTTCACAGATGTCGAGTAGGGGTGGCTCAGAAAGTCACGGCAACAAACAATACAAAACGATTGGAGTGCAAAATAGAGGGAAAATGTAAAATAAGGTATCTTTTCTCTTACTAAGTACAAATTGCAAAAGTATATTAACCATTTATATAAATACAAATGATAGCGCATACACATTCTTGCGGAGGGAGCTGGTAGGAACGTTGGGTTGCTCGGTCAATGGCCAGGGTCAACAGCGGCGTGGTGTATTCCGCAAATATGCCCAACTGTGAGGGCGGGCACAAGCCGGCGTGAGTAGGTGAAACGTAGAGTTTTATTAGGGCACCACGGGGTGACCAGCCCCTTCCCACCCAGCCCCACCCCTCCCACCCCTCACCCAGCCCCACCCTCCCCACCCAGCCCCTCCCCACCCTCCCCACCCAGCCCCACCCTCCACAGCTTTTCCCCACCCTCCCCTACCCACCCAGCCCCTCCCTCCCCACCCAGCCCCTCCCTGCACGATGGACACAATAATCCCCTGTGGGCTGGTGTAACCAGGAGGTTCCTACCAGTATTAGGTGGCTTATCATGTGGAAATGTATCGTAGCCAAATACTCTCAACCCGTGTTTCTAAATGGGGAGGGAAAAAAACAGAGGACACAGAGACAAATCCACGCGACCACGGGGAGAGAGAGAGAGAGACACGCAAACTCCAAATATGCAGCAGGCGTCATAGACGGGATCGAATCTACGACCTCCTTTATACCAGGCGAGGTAGTTAAGATCTCCTAGCCACCGCACCGCCCCATCTCCTCGTCATGTCTGGCTGTTGACTTGCCAACGTTGGGATCACTCGCGCGAAGACATTTATTCGCGCGAAACCTGTCAAGCTGCCTGTGTAAATGTTTGTGCGAAGGGCCTGGTTTGTGTGAAGGGCCTTGTTTGTGCGAAGGGCCTAGTTTGTGCGCGCACGTGGGTTTGCGTTGTTAGTGGCTTATTTTGTACGCGTAGATACCGCGTGCTCATGCATTGCTTTGTTAGCAGTTTGAATTGTGCCGGTGGTTGGGGGAAATAGTTTGAGTGCGTTTGATTAGCGTTGCAATGGTTTGGTTTGCGGTGTGTTAATGGTTTGGTGCGTATTAAGCAGTCCCTCCAGAAAAACGCGATTATGCGATCGCATGATTCCATGCAAAATCAGCTAAAGTCCGCATATTTATGCGGGGGGCGCGTTTTTTCAAATACGCCGCACTTTCGCCGCATAAATTGCAGATTTCCGCGTGCAAAATATGCGGGCTTGCATGATTTCATAATCCCCGCATTTTCGTTGCAAAAAGTCACATATATCTTAGCAGAAAGTTGAAAAATGTTGCGTTTACTTCACACAAGCGCAGCCATTTCTCCTGTTGCCATGGGAACGTTATGAAGTGACGTCACTCATTACACGACATCATTGAAAAGCTGCAAACCCCGCGATGCCAATGAAACCATGATGAAGCCCGCAAATCTTTCTCATTTGCCAACAAACATAAGCGCATAAGACCGCGCAAAGCAGTTTCCCAGTGTGTTACATGACAGTGGGGGCAAATTATTTTGCACTCCGTGCAACTGCGTGTTGGACCACAGGCGGAAGTCGACGCTGGACAGTCACTTTGCAACCGACAAACATTCGAGGATGGTTAAAGCAGCAGCGGAATCAGCAACAGCATCTACAAACTAGTGTTGTCTAACCGAAGATCAACTACCAACCAAAACCTCAAAGCCTTGGTCTTCCTTTACCATAACCAACGAGTCCGCAGTGGAGCATTTGAGAGGGAGGAGATGGTGGAGGGGGAGGAGATGGACACTGAGGGAGAGGGGATGGAGGATGAGGATGGTGAATGATTGGCCAGTGTTAGAGGCTACGTAGTTAGTTTTATTCAGGAGTTTATGCAACTTTACAGTTGTAAGATTGCACTTTTTTGTTAGTAGTATGTAAATTTACATTACTGTAAGACTGTACTGTTACTGTATTGCTTACGTTACTGTGCACTGAAAACACTTATTTTAACAGAAGATGTCTGTTTTGTATAGCTACCTCTGTAAAACAGGAAGCACACATTTTATTTTTTAATATTTTATTTATTCATTTTTACAGAAGTTGTAGCATATTCATTTCGTAAAGCTACAGAACTTGTTCGACTCAATGTTTTGTAAGTTTGAGCCATCTGTTTGTTAAGGTCTGAAATAAAACAAGATGAGAACTTAAATATTCCCAGCACTTTCTGTGATGTAGTATGCTTGCGTATCATAGGAAGTAATAAGAAATGACTCTTTACATTAAAGTAGTAGCCTAGTGAATAGGGTGTTGGGGGAATTACTTTTTTTTCTATTTTTCATCAAACCGCAGTTTGTGCAAGTTCCCACAATTTAATCGCGTAAAATTGCATAAATATCCCGCATATTCCATCGCATTTTTTAAGAAAACGTGCCGCATAATCAACGATTTTTGCCCGCAACAATCACCAAAAAACTCCGCGTTTTTCTGGAGGGACTGATTAAGAAGTCTGCGTTGTGTGTTCATGTTTCGGTTTGCATGTAAATTTTATTTGTTTTTGTCGTACAGTGCCACCTCGTGGTAGTACTTGGGAAGCCAATAGCGCGTCAGAGCACACAGAGCCAGCGCGCGCACGAGCGCCCACGCTAAGACACGAGCACGTGGAGAGTAAAGTCAGGTGGCCCACCTAACTGATACGTTCGTCAACATTGTTATCGCGCGATACTGCCGTTGGCAGTGGTGTGCAGGCACAAAGGGCAATAACACTGCCCCAGAAGGAAAATATACATGATTAGAAACGGCATTGGGCAACAGGCTGGCTATGATGAATGACCATTTTCCACTACTTCACCTATTATATATTTATTATTCCTTTCGGCGCAGCGCTATTGACGAACGTATTGATCTTGTGCTGTTAACAGCGTGTCGGAGGGCTATGCCGGCACCTGTGAGATGATTGCGGATTTGAATCTGAGCAGCCACCCGTGACTAAACCCTGTTCTCACATTACGCGAAGGGCAAAATATTCCAACTAAATAATCTCTACATCGATGGGACCCCATAACTGCTCCACCCGAGCCATCGATGCTTTGATATTTGCGTTTTCATTGTGCCGTTCGCCTTTTGGCGGTGTTCTCTGGTCTGACACCGGTGAGACTCGGCCATGAAGGAGGCTGTCTCTGGTGTAGGCCACTCGGTTTCAAAGACAATGCATACGTTGTTATCAAAGCCACATCTGTTTGCATATTCTACCACAAGCATGCATGGTTCGTGCAGACTTGATGATACCTTGCGGATAGAGGTGCCTATTTGATGTTTAAACAGCTTAACACCTCCTGTATTTTTGCCGGCAAGTGTAAAGCCGATTAGCACGGTTGGCTTCGTACGATACGAAAGAAGTTCAACGTACGTACGTACAAAGCCTTTTAATATTTTTTATTTTCACTGCTACTTCTGCTGCTGCTGCCGCCGCTGCGTGTCGTCCCACTTCAGGTGAGCTTCACCGTCACGGCGGAGGCGCGTGGATGCCCCCGCGGCGCCGGGGACGACGGCGCTGGCACCAGCGGCGCCGCCGTGGGCCCCGGCGCGCGTTCCTACGAGCGCAACTTCACGATCAAGCCCGTGGGCTTCCGCGACAGCCTGCACGTGACGGCGCTGGTGCGGTGCGGCTGCGCTTGCGAGGCGAGCGTCGTGCTCCGCAGCCCGCACTGCTCGGGGGGGTACGGCTCGCTCTCCTGCGGCCTGTGCCGCTGCAACCCCGGCAGGATCGGGGAGCTGTGCGAGTGCCAGGAGGGAGAGCTGGGACCGTCCGGGAGTGCGCCGGTACGGTGTGCAACTTTTCACCAGGAAGGGGGGGGGAGGAGGGGCAGGGTGGAGGAGGGTGGGGGTGTCTTGTTGGTGTCAAGAGCAGCCTCTGTGGAGGAGGAGGCTCGTGAAGGACGCTGCTGGGCGGTTGGAGGCAGTCGCCCTCCACGACAACGAGCGGAGCGCCGGGCGGCTAAAACGCAGCAAGTTGGCACAGTAGGGGGGCACAGGCGGTGCATCTGCCAGTGCTCTCGGTCACCTGGGTCTGTCTTGTGACCTCCTGCCAGCGAGCCTTCGACGCTTAACGTGGCCTCAGAATGCACATAGTCTGGCACGAGCGACGTCACCGAATGGGGGTTGTTGTTGTTGTTGGGAAGCGGCAACGAACCCGGCGACCCAAGTTCGATTCCCGCTCACGGCCAACACGAGTGACTATTATCTGAACCGGTCCTGGCCCTCCGCCTAGGTCGACTCGGCCTCAAATGAGTACCTGGTGCGATGTGTAGTAAACGTCGCCACCGGGGAGACGAAGGCGGTCGGGGTGGCGTGGCGGCGGCCACCCACACCGCCTCTCGTTACCGGTGCCAACTTTCATAGGTGCCGCACGCTCATAGCGCTTGCCCCCCCCCGTACATTCTGCGAAGGCTCCACGGTTGGGGTGGGGGACCCCTTGTCTTTGTGTCCGACGGCAGGGCTCGGCGTGCCGCATGAGGGAGCGCAGTTTGCCGTGCAGCGGCCGTGGGGAGTGCGTGTGCGGCCAGTGCCTGTGCCACGCCAGCGAGTTTGGCCGTGTCTCTGGGGCCTTCTGCGAGTGCGACAACTTCTCGTGCCTCCGTCACAAGGGGCTGCTGTGTTCCGGTACGTACGTGCGTGCGCGTGTGTGCGTGCACATACACACAAGACATAAACTAAATTATAAAATCTTTTTTTTTTTATTAGGTAAGGCCCTTTAGCTGTGTAGCTCTTTTTCAGAAGCGACCGGGCCACAAATGATAGCTCAACGAAGTGGCTTGTCATCACGTGGAAATTCATAGCAGCGGCCAAATACACTGACCGCACGTTGATTCTAAACACGGAGGGGAAAACTGGAGGACCCGCAGAAAAATCCACACGAGACCACTGAGAGAAAGAGACATGCAAACTCCAAATGTACAGGCGTCGGGGTCGAACCCACGATCTCCTGTATACAAGGCGAGGGAGGTAGCATCTGGCGCCCACCCCTCCCATGTCGCCTGCATAGGCTGGGAGGGCAAAGTGCTGTGAGCGAGAGCCTGTCAAGGATGTCACAACGGCACGAGGATTTCGTGTGGTCGGCACCGTGCCGGACGTCTTAGTCTTGCCGGTGCTGATAACACTGGTTAACACACTTTTTCTGCCATAAGGTTTTAAGGTGCTGATTCCAAATCTGGCATCAGTTTTTGTCTATCACATCAGGTTTTTGAGATATCAAATATTGCATTTTCAATAAAAACTGCAGAAGAAAAATATTAAATAAATGTGGATATCTACGTAAAATGATATTATAAACACACTATCCTAAATATACAGCACCATATTTTTACACTAAAGCAGTCACTGACTCACAACAACTTGCAATCATAAGTGACAGAGTTAATTTCGGGTAAAATCAATAAAAATGGGGTATGCCGATAGCATAAAAATGATGTGATAGAACAAATCTGAGATCAGATTTGGAATCAGCACCCTGAAATTAGTCTAAAACAGCAAAAGTCCAGGCCAGAAAAAAAAGTTTTTTTTTGTTGACCAGTGTAATTTTCACACCTTAACGAGTTCCTCGTTTCAGACTCAGTAGACGTAGTGGGGATCCAGGACCCTTGACTGCCTTGCCGGTATGAGCGAGAGAGAGACGAGTGAGACTCCAAGTGGAGCGCCGGATCGTCGGTGAGGATTGTGAGCGTGGAACGTCCGATGCCGAAACATGCCCGTCGTGTTTGTAATTACCGGCGAAACTTCATGGTGCTCAAATTGTGCATGTTGTGGATTTACTCTCCAACACGCCGGTGTGCTGAACTAGTAACTGATCGGCACGTTTTGTTTACGTGACAAACCTTTCTAATTGGCCGTGTTGGGTGGTGGCGGGTTTAACGACACATTTATTTTCACGCGATCTAACCAACATCAAAAACCTCTTCTGGATAATATTGTTTGTGAAAGCCCTCTGTGATAAATTTTCTGCCTTCCTTGGGACGTTGGGATCGTGGTCTGGGATGTGTCGACCTCCCTATTGTGATTATATTTTTCCATCTTGATTTGAAACTTTCGTGAATGCAGGAATTCATACTCTTTGGTTCTTTCGGTAAAGTCACGTAGGTATAAGTAAAATAAATCACGACGTTTCTGGCGCAACACAAGCGTCCGTCATCAGGTGACGGACGCTTGAGCTTTCTGTTTTGGTGTCACATCTTAATTTGTTCAATTCATTTTTGAATTTGCTTGATAGTGTGCTGTATCAATGGGTTCTAGATTTGAAGCTTTCGTGACTGCAAGGATTCATACTCTTAGTTTTATGCTGTATCAGCAAATCTGGCTGTGACGGTCCCACCTGAAGACGGAGACTTGTGTTGCCTCCGAAACGTCGTGATTTATTATTATTTTATTTTTATTAATTTTAATTTTATTTTTTACCTACGTGACTTTACCGAAAAAACTAAGAGTATGTATATATGGGATTTGGTCATTATATGTAATTAACGAACAGCATCACGGGATGCTATTCACGTGAATGACACCATAGATAATATTGGTCGCCAAAGCCTGACGCTACGTGTTAAACTGACGCCCGTCATCCGTCCCCCCCTCTCTCTTGTGCTCCCCCCCCCCAGGCAACGGGCACTGCGAATGCGGCGAGTGCCGCTGTGGCCCCGACTGGGTCGGCGAAAGCTGCAACTGCACGACGCGCACGGAGGCCTGCCTGGGCGCCGACGGGCGTCTCTGCAGCGGCCGGGGGCTGTGCTCGTGCGGCCGCTGCGTATGCACCCAGCCCGGCGCGTTCGGCGACGTCTGCCAGAAGTGTCCCACGTGCCCCGACGCCTGCAGCATCAAAAAGTAACGCCACGGGGCACCCCCCCCACCCAACACCCTCCCCCTACCCCCCACTCTCCCCCCCACCACCACCTCCTCCCTCCACCAGTCAAGCGCCACGTTGGTGAGATGTTAACTACCTCGCCTGGTGTGCAGGAGGGTCTGGGGTTCAATCCCGACCCTGACGCCTGCTGCTGTATATTTGGAGTTTGCGTGTCTCTCTCTCATCATCATCACGGTGGCTAGGAGATGTTAACTACCTCGCCTGATATACAGCAGGCCGTGGGTCCGATCCTGACCCTGACGCCTGCTGCTGTATATTTGGAGTTTGCGTGTTTCTCTCTCTCTGCCCGTGGTCGCGTGGATTTTTTTTCTGGGCCCTTCGGTTTTTCCCTCCACATTTAGAAACATGTGATTAGACTATTTAGATTATTTTGCTGCGATAAATGTCCACATGATAAGCCACTTCGTTGAGCGATCGTTTGTGGCCTGGTCGCTTTTGAACAATAAGTTAATATCTCAGTGGGTGTTGCCTGGCAGGATGGGGATGGTTTAGTTTTATTTGTACGTGTTTGGGTGATTTGTTTACCGTTATTGTACTTTGCACTCTTATCGTATCGTTGTTTCTGTATTGTTTGTTCCTGTAACTTTAAATCTAGATTTGAAGTTTTTGTGACGGCAAGGATTCATACTCTTTGGTTTTTTCGGTAAAGTCACGTAGGTAAACATTTTAACTAAATTAAATCACGACGTTTCGGGTGCAACACAAGCCTCCTCCTTCAGGTGGGGACAACTTAGCGAAAGCACAACCGCTTAAGTGTGTGTGTGTTCCTGTAACGTTCTTACCCCGTGGCCCGGCTGGAGCGACAGCGCCGTTTTTCGCCAGAGGTCCTTCGAGCCCAGCGTCTGCTCTGCTCAAAGTTAAAAGTTAAAAAAGTAGAGTCGCAACTGAAAGTGGTTTATTGATCGTATGAGCATTGAGCGCGTCGTTCATCTCATAGTCAGTGGTTGAAATGCCACATCCCTTAGTGTGGGAGGGGGGGGGAGGCGAGTCTTTTGCGTAGGACAACAGCTTTTTTTCGCAAAGTGTTAACTCATTTTAATCGGCTTCGGAGGAGTCATGATGGGCTGAGTCGACCCCCTCTGACGGGGATATTTGAACTCGCGACCTTGCGATTGCGAGCCACACGCTTGAGCCACCCGGCGGGTTAATACCGCGGTAGTATTCACCGGAAACGCCACGCCGCGCACTTCCCAGCGGACGTTTAAAAAAAAAATACCACGTTGTTATTCGTTTCAACGGCCCCGAATGTGACAAAAATGACGGCATTTCTCCGGGCTTTCTGCAGTGGGAATATAACCTGCCAGCTCCTTGACCCCCGCAATGGACCCCGGCGCGGCTCGCATGTTGCGGTGGGGGCGAGGTGGTATACGTTTTGATCATTACCCCATGTGTAGAGATAGTTCAATGTTTTTTGTGCCATTTTGTTGAGTGGATACTTTACTGTGTGTTCTCTTGGTGTGGTCTGGCACGGTTTCGTTGTTGTCGTCGTTGTTGTTGTTTGTGGCTTGCCCACTCTTCATAATTAATTTATTCTTCGGTTCTTTCGGTAAAGTTACGTAGATAGAAAATAATACAATAAAAATAATACTGTTTTTTTTTTATTAAACTCAACGTTTAACCTACTCACGCCGGCTTGTTGCCGCCCTCACAGTCGGGCATATTTGCAGAATACACCACGCCGCCGTTGACCCTGGCCATTGATCGAGCAACCCAACGTTCCTACCAGCTCCCTCCGCAGGAATGTGTTGATTGGCTGAAACGGTGCGCATTCCGGAGGGCGGCTCCGCGCTTGTGATTGTTCGGATGCTACGTGTTCACAGGGAGTGCGTCGAGTGCCGGCTGTTCCAGCGGGGGCGCCTCTGGGAGGACGGCTCGTGTGCGCAGATGTGCGTCGACGAGATCCAGCAAGTGGAGACGATAGGTCCGTCGCACACACACACGCACGCACGCACGCACGCACACACGCACGCACGCGCTGCACATCTTCATGGGACATCCCTTGCCAGTATCAAAATATAAGAATAGGTTTTACCCCTTTCTGGCAATAAAACAGTTGTGTTAAGATTTTAAAAGACCAAGCTGAAATATTTTACTAGGAATCATGTTTGCATTAACCACATGTAACTTGTAGTGAACATGCAAACATAAAACCTGCTCTGGTAAGTATATGTATTGTCTTTGAAACTGATTGGTCCAGACCAGAGTACAGCTTTCTTGAGAGCGTAGTTCTTAAACGGTGTTAGACCAGAGGACGTCAAAAGGCGAACAGCACGAAGACAATGGTGAGTAATGCCTGCTGGGCTGCATGCTGTAGGCAGCGCTGCATGCCCCAGTACACAGTCTTTGACATCAAGGACCAGGGGTTACGAGGCTCAGGCTGAAGCCAAGGTCCAGGTGCCTGGGCGTCCGAAGCCAGTGTCAAGACCAGTCAAGGCCACGTGCTCTATACCAGGGGTGGGGAACGTCCGGCCCGCGGGCCGTATGAGGCCCGCGAAATCATTTCGTCTGGCCCTGCCAAGGCAACCGCACGACTCGAAATTCAATAAATCGATGCGCTTTTTTCATAGCAACATGAATTTAATTTTGTATGGCCCATGAATGATGTTATAAATATCCAAATGGCCCTTTGCAGAAAAAGTTTCCCACCCCATCTAGACCAATGGTTCCCGGCCTCGCTTGTATGTACGTACTTTGAACTTTCGCACCGTACGTAGCCAACCGTGCTCATTGGAGGTGCGGACCGCCGTCAACCCTCAAAATATTTCCGCATGCCTCCGTGCACCGATAACGCACATTTCAAAACTTAGACCTACTCTTGATGAATGCCAGGAATCGGCAGATGTCGCCGAGAGCCAGCCGTGTTGACGAGCCGTGAATGCGGTCTGCGAATCATTGGGCAGTTCCACGGACCAATCCCCCACGACCTTTCAGACCGACCCTCCCGGTGGTCTGTGGACAAGCGATTGGGGACCACTCCTCTAGGCTTAGGCCTTGGTCAAGGCTGGTGGCTCCAAGCCAAGTCCTCAGACCCAAGCCCACACCCCGGAGGTCACTCTCAGGGATGTGAGAGCCTAGCGGTGTCGATTCCCAGGAGACTTGTCTTGAAGCCCCAAGACTGCTCGGTAACCACACGTATGCACGTATGTACGTACGTATATTTTAACTCATTTCGTAGGCAACCGTGTTTATCGGAGGTGCAGGGCCGAAAGACAACAAACTAAACGCAAAAAGCAGTTCTAAAGAAATTAGTTTTCAATCCAGATGATTTAAAAGTGCATAGCTAGCTCCCAGTGGGGTCCTAATATTGGAAGGAAGAGCGTTCCAGACGGCCGCGGAAGCGCATCTGAGAGCGCCACGCGATGCAGTGACCGTCTTCATGTTCGACGGGCGAGCCACAAGCCGCTGCCTGCCGCGAGGGTGGCCGTCGAGTTCGCGTGGCGATGGTTCGTCCACGCGTCGCTTGCGCAGCGGCGATCTGCGATGCGCCGTTGACGTCACGCAGCGGGCGGGCGCGTCTGCGCGCCCCCGTGTGTTGGTGATGCAGATGAGAGTCACAAGGACGCCGTGACCTGCAGCTACAAGACCCAGGACGATTGCATCATGTCGTTCACTTACACAGAGGACTCGGACGAGAAGTCCGTTCTGGCTGCGCTCAAGGAGCCAGGTAAACCCGTCCGTAGTCTGCACGAGCATTCACCATGTGATCATACTCGTATTTACGGTACATGTGCATGTGCGTATGTCTATATACAGTAAAACCTTGGATTGCGAGTGTTTTGCAAGACGAGCAAATTTTTAAAATATTATTTTGATAAACGGGCGACGTCTTGAAATACGAGTAGTGCGTGTATACGCTTTGTTTGCCGAGCGTCACGTGATCACAACTGATGTACGAGTGCTTTGGATTACAAACACGTTTCCGGAACGAATTATGCTCGCAATCCAAGGTTTGACTGTATACTGAAGTTTTTTTGCAAATCCACTGCCAGATGAGGGCCTCGCCCGCCATGACGAGCGGGTCGTAGAGGTTGTTTGACCGAATGCGTCATGCTGGTCAGTGCGGGTATTGTTGAAGGGCTGGGAGCATAGACGTGGGTTGATGGGGCACCAGTCAGTCTGGTGGACTTGAGTCCTCAACATGTGCGGAGCGATCAAGGAGTGATTTTCGTGGGAAATGGTAACCACGGTAGTAGTGATAGAGGAGTGACAAGGAAGCCACTGACCGCCACTGAGCACATTTCCAACCAACGTCGCACCGCAAGCATCGTCGCACACCTGCCTGATTCCCTTACTGATAAACTATGAAACTATTCACTAAATTTTATTTTGCCAGGTAAGGCCCCACAGAGCTTTATAGGGCTTGTTCAGAAGAGACCTGTCTATCACAGATGATAGCTCAAGGGAGTGGCTTATCGCGTGGAAATTTATAGCAGCAGCCGAATATTCTGAACGCACGTTGATTCTAAACGTGGAGGGAAAAACCAGAGGACCCGGAGAAAAATCCACACGAACACGGGGAGAGAGAGAGAGACGCAAACTCTAAATATACAGCAGGCGTCAGGGTCGGGATGGAACCCACGACTTCCTGCATACCAGGCGAGGTAGTTAACATCTTGGAGGACCCAGAGAAAAATCCACGCGAACACAGGGGGAGAGAGAGACACGCAAACTTCAAATATACAGCTGGCGTCAGGGTCTGGATGGAACCCACGACCTCCTGCATACCAGTCGAGGCAGTTAATATCCCGTGAACTCCTCTGGCTCCCGTGTTGTCCGCCTCTTCCCCCACCCCCGGTGCGCCGTCACGCAGAGTGCGCCCACGGCGTGAGCGAGACCAACGCGGTGCTGTGCGTCGTGGCCGGCGTTCTGCTCGCCGGCGTCGCCGCTCTGCTCGCGTGGAAGCTCATGGTGACGGTGCAGGACCGGCGCGCTTTCTCGCGCTTCCAGAACGACCGCATGCACGCCAAGTGGGGCGCGGTACGTATCAGAATCGGAATCTTTGGTTAATGCTGGAGGAATCCGATGAGCCAGTTGAGGCGGGTAAGAAGGTTGCAACAACAACAAAAAATATTATAACATGATAGTAGTGCAAAGTACAAGAAAGATGTTAAACAAATTCTTGGTTCTTTCGGTAAAGTCACGTAGAAGGGAAATAATAAAATAATAAAAATACAACTATTAAATTCTCGCGACGTTTCGATTGCAACACAAGCAATCCTCATCAGGTGTGAAAACCACAGTAAGAAAATTTGAAAAAGTGGCGGTTTTTTTCTTAACGCTAGCACTTTTTTCAAATGTTCTTGCTGTGGTTTTCACACCTGATGATGATTGCTTATGTTGCAATCGAAACGTCGTGAGAATTTTATAGTTAAATTTTTATTATTTTATTATTTCTCTTTTACGCGACTTTACCGAAAGAACCAAGAATATGAATTTCTGAAGTCACGAAAGCTTTAAATCGAAAGATAAACAAATCGCACACAATCATACAAATACAACACTCAACCATCTCCATCCTACCAGCTCGAGCCCACCGAGGTATTCATTTATTTTTCAGACGTGACCTGGCCACAAATGATAAGTCAACAAAGTGGCTTGTCACGTGGAAATTTATATCAGCAAAATTCATCTAAATAATATCAATGTTTCGAAATGTCTTTTGAACTTCTATCGCAACTGTGCGTAGCCAACCGTGCCAATCGGAAGTTCGGGGAGGGGGGAAAACAAACTGAACACAGAAAGAGCAGTTCTAAACAAATGAGTTTGTCATGCTCGATGATTTGAAAGGAAGGAAGAGCGTTCCAGACAGCTGCAGAGCAGCACTTTCACAGAACACAGAACAGGTTATAATAATACTTACATTCGATATAGCATCATTCATGCTAATAGCATCCCATAACTCTGTACGTTAATTTTATATAAGGACCAAATCCCCTACACAGCCACTGCCAAGCAAATGAAAACCCTACTACTACCAAGCTAAATAAAAAATGAATAAACAAATTAAGAAATGGCTACACAACAGAAGCAGCACAAACAACAACAATAACAATAATATAAGTTATCACAACAGAGAAAGGAGTCCACATCCCAGACCACAATCTCAACTTCACAATCAAGCCAGGAAATTTAAAACGCGACCAATATCATCCAACATGAAGGATTTTGTTGGGTTGGATCGCGTAAATATAAATGTGGCGTTAAACTCGCCACCACCCGACATGGCCAATTATTAAGGTTTGTCACGTAAACAGAACGTGCCAATTAGGAAACCTTCACAGGAAGGCGGCAGAAAGTTACGACTAACTTATACCGATCAGTCCAATCTCTTTGCCGTTGTCGATGTTTTATTTGAACCGGTGGCCCCCCCACTGCCTGGCTATCGCGATCCGATTCCAGAACGCCGGGCGCGAGCCAACGACGTGGAGGGATGCACGCTCGGAAATCACGTTGACAGGACGGGCAAAGGGGTGATCGCATGGATCTGAGAGCGCAATTCACACGCGAGAATTCAGACTTGAGAAAAAACGAAGTGAGCGGGGCACGTCATGGTTAGCGGGGGACGATGATGGCCGATGGTCAGGAACCGTGACGGAGCGGCAGCCGAGGAACGGGAACGCGTCTTGAGAGGACGCTCCGCCGAGGGAGATGGAGCGACGGTGGAACGAGCGCGCGTGCGGCTGGATTAGCGCCTCCGATTAGTGCGGTTTTGGCTCCGTACGGCGCGAAAGACATTCAACGTATATTACGTCGCAGGCTTGTGAGAGGGTAACGCCAGTTTAGGAAGGCCTTCATCTAGCAGTCGATAGATCATGGCCGATCAGGGTTCTTCAAGTTTTGTGAACGACAGATTTGAGGTGACCCCTTCAGGCAGAAGACATATATCAATGATGATAATAGATTAAAACAGACTAGTAACTTTAAGAAGAAACAATTAACATGTTTTACGCCGCCGTTAAAATATATCATATTTAACCTCATGTGTCCTGACTTCTGGGCCACCCTGCATAATAGGTGACGTCTCAGGCAAATGGCCTGTCTTCATGGCAAGCAATCAGAGATGCACTGGGTGATAAGAGTGGACTTCGACTCTCAACTTGTATTATCCACTCTGTCTCGCCTCTCTGTGCTACGACGAAGAGCCATTGCCCAAAACGTCACCTGTCATGTATTTTGATGCATATATTTTTTTTTAAAGCGGCGTTATTGACCTATGTGTTGAAATTAGTTTTTGTCAAGGTACGCTTGTGCACCGACTGCCAACGCTGCAATAGCAGCGTCACCAAAGTTATTCGGTCAAAATAGTGAATCATTGCATAGCGACAGACTGCGGGTTTAGGCGGCAGTGTTTACAACAAACAAGCTTCTCGCTCGGCCCGGACAGTACCTTTCACACACGAGCGTCGGCCGCTGACACATCCTGCCGTCCACAAGCTCGGCATTCGAAACCACCCCACGCTTACTCACTCCCGCACACAGACCGGCCTCTTTCATCGCGCGACACTGTGCGCCGTTTGTCCCGTTTTCCCCGACGAACTCGCCGCTCATCTGCGTTTTCCCCCTTTTCGCAGGGCTCCAACCCGCTCTTCCCGAACTCCAACCACTCCGAGGTCTCCTTCCACGGGCTGCCGCTTCCGTCTGGGAATTGAGGTTTTTTTTTTTGGAGAGGTCGGAGGCGACGCGCGGCGGATCGGAACGCAGACCAACGCCGTGACACGCCCCTTGTAAGCGGGCCATCTGCCAGGAGACGTTCGCTTGAGGCCGGGTTCAACGAGTTCCTCCTTGTTGGCAACGAGCCGTCGCCTCCAGACAGGCCGGACCGACGTGGACGCCAGCCGAGTGGTGACCGACTCGCGCCCATCACTCGACTTTTCTCCATCCCTGCCGAGGCCCCCCACCACCCCCCCCCCCCGCCCGTCGACCTGCCTCTTAAATGGCATCTGCCTCGTTATCCGCCCCCTCCCCCACCCCCTGCCATGCTTATACATCATTTTTTTTTCACCGTACAACTGAGCTGCACCGGGTGGATTGGGGGGGGGGGGTGGGGCATGTCCGTCGACGGCTCGTTGTCTCCCACCCAATGGGCGAGGGGTCGTGCTGTGTTTAAAGAGTCGTCACCGAACGACTGTCACACGCAATGAAATGCGTTGTATGCCCCCACCACCCCTCTCTAACACTCTGGCCCTGCTTGGCCCCGAGCCAGATTCAGAAGCCTTCTTCGCGAGGCCAAAGTATCGCGGTGGCTCGACATGGCAAACGGCCGGTGGGAAGTCCAACCCGTGCCGTTAAATGCCCACCCCCCCACGCTGGCTTATCTCGGATGTGCCAGTGAAAAGTCGGTATGTATATATATGTAACGAGTCATCCCGAAATCAGCGTATGAAGTTGCGATTTTATTTAGGCAGGCTCACCTTGTCATTTACAGGCAGTGACCGTCGTCACGGCAGAGGTCGCAAACGGGTTTTGATTCCTTACCCTACCCGTACCCAGCCGGGTACGGGTAGGGTACGGGTATCGGGTACATGATTGCGACCTCTGGGATGAAGCCATGTTGCAGGCGCGGGTGGGTTGATTCTAGGAACTTGAATTGTGAGAAGAGACAAGACGTTGGGAAATGAGTGACAAACGGTGACTCACCAGTGACCCACGGTCTGCCCGTACCCGGCTGCACCAATGTCGCAAACGGGTACCCGTACCCGGCTGGGTACGGGTACCCGGGTATCGGGTAGGGTACGGGTATTGGGTACCCGGTTGCGACATCTGTGTCACGGTGACCATCGTCACGGTGACCGCCGTCACGGTGACCGTCATCACGGTGATCGTGACTATTGCCGAAATGATTGTGATGATTATTGAACTAAAACTAAACAATTTTTATTTCATCAGGTAAGGCCCATTGAGCAGCTAAAAAGCTATTTTTCAGAAGCGACCTGGCCATCAAAAATGCTGGCTCAACAAGAAGTGGCTTATCATCTTGTGGAAATTTATAGCAGCCAAATTCTCTAAAACGCGCAATGTTTGTGGTAAATGTGGAGGGAAACACACCGGAGGGCCTGGAGGAAAAACATCGATGCGACCACATTGTTACGGTGAAGATGCGCAGAGTGACAACAATCCTGTGCCGATCGGAGAGGAAACGTGTTCGCGAAATGCAGCCCGGCCAATAATCAACACAGTGACGGCGGGATCACTGCAATGAAAATTGTCTACAGTTTCTTGAGATGGAGTTTCAGAGTATCCTTTCATGTGTAACCATGTAATCATCCTTTTTAAGTTATTGATGAATTGTAATATAAACGCGTGGTCATGTATAGCAATAACACGTCTGTGTTAAATTCGCTTTAAGTGGGGAAGTGAAGCACCCCACTTGACATTCCCTGCGTGCGTCCGCGCGTGCGTTTACCTGTAGAAACGTGCGCCAATTCTTTATACGTTCACACGCTCCGTTGCCGTAGTGGAACACAAACTGTTTAAATCCATAAAAGCCTTCCCACGGCGAATATGGATTAAATGTCGCACGACTGCCGGTTACAACAAATGCCCGGTGCTTCGTGAACACTTTTGGTAAGAATTGGATTCGGTTGATTCTAAAATAATTCCAATTCACATTGAAATTTTTTTGTACCCCTTTAAAATGTTGCGGTTGCCCGTCCAGCAGCATGTGTGGCCCGCTAACGAAGTGGGCCCTCATATCCGTAGCGGCGAAAACAAAGTGTGTAGACTACGGTAATGGAAATGTTTTTAGCGTGTGGTTGATACATGTAAATACCAGCGTAAAAAGCCAGCAGGTTATTATTGATTTGCTTTCTGTCCGTGTACAGTGCGAAATAAGTTCAACATACATACATGCGTACGTTCGCGGAGAAGTCGGGTATTCCATTCCATGGTCCCGTATGATTGAATTCTCCGCTGGCCACACGCAGGCAAACTTACTATGCTTGAGATTCCGTATTATTGCTTGCTGCTCAAGAGAGACCCCTTAACACAACACCAGGGTCTCGAAGCTCACTTGATTGGATTGACTTTGTGTGCGTAATGAATAACCAAATGTCTCTGCTTTTAACACTTGATATATTTTATTATGCTACATTTTTATGGTGACCCTGGGACACACACGGAGCAATGACGCCAGAAAAAAACATTGGAAATATTCCCAGAACATTTCGTCTTTTTTTTTTTTAACACGTAGAAATAATTCACAAAACGTTGTCATTAACACAGCCTTAAATATAAATTTATGGAAAAGCCGGGTGACGCCGTGCCAGAAACGTGATGAAGTGCGCCTTCTGGGTGCCACAAGTTCTGGCCTGTAACCCCTTGAGGACGGCAGTGAAGTGTTTATAGCCTGCTGGCGAAAAACTCGTCAGGGTAAGCGATTTGGAGGGTGGCATTTTCAGCTTCTGTAGCGCCCAAAAGTGAGTTTATGCTTCATCATGAGATAAGTTAAACTTGTTTGTCCAGGTGAGAACTTAAGAGAGACCAGGAGAGTCTCTGTTGCAAGTGTGACCTGCCAGGCGGGGGGGGGGGGGATGATTGTTGTGCAGAATACAATTTTGGGTGATCCGCGGCATAACCTTAGAATTTTGGCAACGTTGGGACCCCGACGCCGGCACACGATGGCCCGCTCTTGCGAATGACGCCAAGGGGATCTTTAGGGTCCACTGTGAGTGAAACAGACGGCGCGCAGCAGCAGCAGCAGTAGTATAATTATCACTCGGGTTATTACCACAGTATTAATCGTGGCGGCCACTGGATTTGAACCGTGATCATCAGCAAGTCGGCGATAGCGCGACCGCCGCTGGCTCGGCCTTGTCAATGCTTTTGTAGTGACACCGACAGACATGGTGACTTAACAAGAGCCTTTTATTCAGACTCAGCACCAACGATGCCCAGGCTTGGTTCTTGAGGCTTGAGCGCCATCTTCTCCAACGTCTCCTCTCCCGTTTTGCTTGTCCCCTTTCATACCTCCCAAGCGACCTCTCTGGAAGCTTCTATGACCCCACTCCCTTCGGCCAATCCTGGCCCTTCCCCACCCAATGGTTCTAGACCATCCTATAGTCCACCGCTCGTTTTCTCGCCTCTCTACCTTTCACATCTTTCCTCCAATTCCTTTCGATCTTCGTCTCCCGACCAATCACTGCCGATGTCTCCCTGCACCAATGGGAGACCTTGACCCACCGAAGGGGCCATCCATTGAGTAGGTAAAAAAAAATCTGTCAAAACTTGACCCATCCCCCCCCCCTCTCTGTACGCACGCGGACTTTTTACACCCCCCCCCCCCCTGAATCCTATAGAACGGCCGATATTTTATGCACGCAGAAACGATCAAGGATTAATAATATTAACGTGTTTAAGTGCACAGATAGTCCACCGCCGGAGTATCTAACTATGCGTACGCACATTGTCAGTATACCCCCCATACGCAAGCGTACGCATTTGGGTTAATCCCCCTCCATGCGTATGTACTAAATGGATGGGCCCTAATTGTCTGTGTGACCTTACACTTGTGTCAGGTCAGCGCTCTCTTTTCCCGTTCGTTACACTTTGAGCGGTCGTGGCCGTCTTTTGTTGTTGTCAGGGGAGAGAGATTCACTGACTCCCCCCCACCTCACCCCAGGGACCAGGCTGTCCCGTTACGTTGGCCGCCTTCTACATTTTCTCCGTTGGGCCCCCCCAGCATTGCGGGGGAGCGTGGCGCGGTGTTGACGCACTTCGCCGCCACGTGAGCACGTGGCCCCGAGTTGGATCCCTCAAACCCCCGGCCACGTGTTACCTTCGTTGGCAAGTGATATCTCTGAGCCGGGACCTGGGCCCAACCACCCCAGAAACTCGCCAACCTGCGCTGGCCAGCATCGGGCAGGGTGATGTGGTCAGCCAACTAACAAAGACTTGAGGCACGGCACGGGGAGGCCGCCTTCCAGCGGCGGATTGACAAAAGAAGAATGCAAATAAAATTTGCCGTTATGAAGTCGGTGCGAGTGACAAAACGTGGGCACATTCATTCTGTTCTTGGCTCGCCATCGAACAAAGACAGTCACTGCATCGCCGTGGCTGTCTGGAATGCTCTTCCGATATTAGGGAGCCACTGGGAGCTATATGCACCTTTAAGTTTAGATTGAAGACTCATTTTTTTCTAACTGCTTTTTGTGTTTAGTGTGTTGTCCTTCCCCCCCCCCCCCCCCCCCGCAACCTCCGATTAGCACCGTAGGCTACGTACGGCGTGAAAGAAGTTCAACATCATTCAATGTGGGCTTTTGCACACCCGGTTGCCAAAACGCGATCCCTCAATTTCACGTCCCATTAAGGGGAGGACTAGATTGTGACGCCGTGCAACGTGCCAGCCCCCTCAAGTGCGGCGCCCTTGTTCCGGAAACGCCCTTGAGAGGATTGGGTCTCCGCTTCTCGCGGTCGAACAATCACGGTGGCCATGACGACATCCGCGAGACGCACGGGTCCTGACATGACCCCCCCACCACCAACCCCCCGAGAGTTAAGAGTTGACGGCTTCGTTTTTACAGCAGCCGCCTCTGGCCCCGTTCGCCGCAACGGCGAAGCAATGACGGCCGCTGCGCCATGTCCCCTCAAACGCGCGCGCCCAGACGGGAGGTCAATCGGCTTTGCGTATTGACCCGAGGGCCTATAAAGCTAAGTGCAGGGCCTGCAGCTTATGATGTTATAAAGGGGCACTAAATAAAAAAAAAACTGTAAATATTAAAAGGCAAATGTTTGCCTTGCATAGTCAAGTAATTGTATTTTTTTCATTTGCTATACAGCCAGATAATACGACAGGTCGCTAAACACCCAGTCGTTCATAAAAGTCGAAGGCGGTATCATCATGGCTTGGCTTCGCGAACGAAGATCTAGGAAGGACATCCACGTCTTCTGCAGGTACGCTGGTGGCTGACAAGGCCTATGTGGGACAGGCAGGTTCTGCCACAACAGCTGCAAGTATAGGTCTGATCTGGGATGGGTGCTGAGGGGTCACGGTTCTTCCTCCTTTTGTTTTCCATACGGGCCCTGCGGGTATCTTCGAAGAAGGAGGTAGTCTGGTGGACTGTGTGCCGCCAGGAGTTGCGATCAGCTGCTTGTGTTGCCCACTGACGGTGATCGATGCAGCAAGCAGTGAGGGACTTCTTCAGGGAGTCTTTGTATCGCTTTCGTGGTGCCCCTATGTCGCGATAGCCAGAGGACATTTCCCCATAGAGCACAATCTTCGGTAGGCGGTGGTTCTCCATCTTGCCCAGCGAAGCTGTATCTTGAGGACCATGGCCTCGATGCTGGTGACCTCCGCTGACTCGAGGACTTCAGTATTGGCGACGAAGTCACTCCAGTGAATATTGAGGATTGTGCGGAGGCAGCGCTGATGGAAATGCTTGAGGAGACTCAGGTGACGACGGTACGTGACCCAGGACTCAGTGCCATACAGGAGAGTGGTCAGCACAACAGCTTTGTAGACATTGACCTTCGTGTCTCTTTAGGTTGCTGGTGTTCCAGACGCGTTTGTATAGTCTGCTGAATGCACTGTTTGCCTTGGACAGCCTGTTGTCGACTTCGTTGTCGATCTTGGCGTCAGACGAGATCACGCAGCCCAAGTAGCTGAACTGGTGGACAGCTTTCAGTTCTGTTTGTTCAATGAAGATGCTTGGTGGATGGTGCTCCTCATGGGGTGCGGGCTGATGAAAAACTTCAGTCTTCTTCAGGCTGACTTCAAGACCGAAGATCTGAGCAGTTTTCGCGAAACAGCACGTAATTCGCTGCATAGCTGCCTCTGTGAGCAAGGAGGGCGGCATCGTCAGCAAACAGCAGCTCCCTGATCAGTTGCTCCATGGTCTTTGTGTGGGCCTGCAAACGCCTTAGGTTGAACACGCTTCCGTCGAGACGAAAACGGATGTATACGCCATCAGCGTCGTCGAGGTCCTCTGTGGCCTGCTGGAGCATCATGCTGAATAAAATGGTGAACAGCCCTGTTTCACACCGTTTTCAATAGGGAAGGGCTGCGAGAGGTCGTTGCTATGTCTGACTTGTCCAAGCTGGTCTCTCTGAAGCTGCACGATCATGGTGAGGAACTTCGGTGGGCAGCCTAGTTTTTCCAGGATTTTCCAAAGTCCCTGCCTGCTCACGGTGTCAAATGCTTTTGTCAGGTCCACAAAGGTGACGTACAGCGCTTTGTTTTGCTCCCGGCACTTCTCCTGAATCTGCCTCAGGACAAACACCATGTCTGTGGTTCCCCGGTTGGCTCTGAAGCAACACTGTGTCTCTGGGAGGTGATCTTCAGCTATTGCGGGTACCAGTCTATGCAGCAGTACTCTTGCTTCTATTTTGCCAGCAACGGACAGAAGTGTTATGCCACGATAATTGGAACAGTCTGATTTCTCCTCTTTGTTCTTGTACAGGGTGATGATTACTGCATTTTTGAGGTCTTGAGGGAGTTTGCCCTGCTCCCTGCAGCAGACGAAGAATTCATGAAGTTTGGTGTGCAGTGCTGGGCCTCCGTTCTTCCATACTCCAGGAGGGATGCCATCAACTCCTGCAGCTTTACCACTCTTCAGCTGTTTAATGGCTTCCTCAGTCTCTTGGAACGTTGGTGCCACATCCAGTTAAGTTTTCACTGGTTGTTGTGGGATGCGGTCAATCGTTGGATCTTGGACTGAGCGGCTAGCATTGAAGAGCATGTAGAAGTGCTCAGACCAGCGGTTCAGGATTGAGTCCTTTTCGGTGAGCACTTCTTTCCCATCTGCACTCCGCAGGGGGCTCAGGATTTGATATGAGGGGCCATATACCGCTTTTAGAGCTTCGTAGAATCCCCCGTAGTCGTCAGTATCAGCGCAAACCTGAGTTCTTACTGCGAGGTTGGTCCACCACTCGTTTTGAATCTCTCGAAGCTTGCGCTGGAGGGTGCTGCATTCCAGGCGGAAGGCTGCTTTTTAGTGTGGGCAGGATAGGTGGGCCTGGTGTGCTGATCTCTTCTTTGACAGCAGCTCCTGGACTTCTAAGTTCTCATCGAACCAATCTCTGTTTTTCTTCGTGGAGAATCCGAGGGTATCTTCAGATGTTTGCAGAACAACAGTTTTGATGCGGTCCCACAGCACTTCAGGAACCGGAGGCACGTCTGCTAGGCAGCTTGGTTCCTCTATCTTAGATCGTAGGCTTTTCTGGAAAACTGCTTTGACCGCGGCAGACTGAAGGCTGCAGACTTTGAGCTTCTTCCTCGGGGCGCCACCTTTCCTTGGTCTGGGCTTAAAGTGGAAGCTGAGTTTGCAGAGGACAAGGCAGTGGTCTGTGTGACACTCGGCGCTGGGCATTACCCTGGTGTGAAAGACATCTTTTAGGTCACGCTGGCGCACTAGGATGTAGTCTATGAGATGCCAATGTTTTGACCGAGGGTGCATCCAGGTTGTCTTCAGACTGTCTTTCTGCTGGAAGATGGTGTTGGTAATGGAAAGCTGCTGTTCCGCGCAGAGTTCAAGTAACAAGCGCCCATTGTCGTTGCAGCTGCCCACACCGTGCCTTCCAAGTACGCCATTCCAGGTTTCCGAGTCTCTGCCCACTCTGGAGTTGAAGTCAAGGATGACAATTTTGTCGTCAGCTGGGATATCCTGCAGAAGGTTGCGTAGGTCGGAGTAAAACTTGTCTTTGTCTGCAGGATCTGCCTGGAGAGTTGGAGCGTACACACTGAGCAGTGTTGCGTGTTGCTGGTCACGAAGTGGTAGACGCATTGAGATGATGCGGTCAGAGTCGCCAGTTGGCAGGCTTGCAAGCTTGGTAGCGATAGAGTCCCTGATCATGAAGACGACACCTGAACGGCGTCTCCCTGACGCTGGTTTGCCTGCTCCTTTAGACTGCCTTCCTCTGAAAAGCGGATTTCGCTGAGGGCGGCGATGTCAACATCCAACAGAGCGAGTTCGTGTGCAATTAAAGCAGATCGTCGCTCAGGTCGAGTGCTGTCAGCTGAGTCTAGCATGGTTCTGATGTTCCAGCATGCGAGTTTGAGTTCTTTCCCACCTTCTAAGTCGAATGGGATGTGCCGTTGATTCTTTGATATAGTTCGACCGCATATGAAGATGCCCGTTGACCGTGGAAAGCAAACTGAGGGAGGAGGAGACGAGCTTTGTTTAGGCCACCTTTTCTAGGCCCCTCTCCGTGTGGAGCAAGCAGTGCTGTCCCTAGAAAAGGCTGCTTGGTCGCTCAGGGTGCTACCGTGTGATGATGTTGTCTCCAGGTCATCATCTATAGCCTTAGACTGTCGGGGCAAGCGCTGTTAGCGAGTAGCACCTATGAAGGCTGGCACGGCACACAAGGGGGTGGGTGGCCAGCGCCACGCCATGAACCGCCTTTGTCTCCCTCGTGGCAGTGTTTAAGCATTGTACCAGGTACTCATTTGAGGCCGAGTCGACCTAGGGGAAGGCTCAGGACCGGATCAGACAGTCGTCACTGGTGTTGGTGGCCATGAGCGGGAATCAAACTCGGGTCGCTGGGTTCATAGCGCTCTCTCTTGTTCGTCCATCATAGTTGATGATGACCATGACACATTTGTCATTTTGTTGGGTTTTGATGAGTGCGCAGATGGCTGAACAGGCCAATCCGAGCCCGGAATTCTTCGTGGCACACTGGACAGGTCAGAGAGGATGTAGAGCTCTGAGGTGCAATCACAAGTCCTTCCCTGGTAGATTTGCGCTGCTGCCTCTTCAAGATAGCACAGGAGCTTCTCCTACTCTCACAGAGGACTGCACCGTCCTGTACTTTTCTTCTCCAGGCAGGTCGGTCGTGTGCTCGGGGTTCCCAGCTTTTCAGGTCGAATCCACAGCTCTTCAAGGAAGCTTTTAGGGTGTCCTTGTAGCGCTTTTTGGGGCCATCTTGTGCTCGCTTGCCATTCTTCAGCTCGCCAAAGAAGACTAGTTTTGGAAGTCTCGCGCAGAGCATTCTGGTCACGTGGCCAGTCCATCTAAGCTGTTCCTTCGCAAGCAAGGCATAGATGCTGGGGATATTGGCCTTGCTGAGGACTTCCGTGTCAGGAATTCTGTCTTGCCCATTGTTCCTCAGCAGTTTCCTCAGACAGCTCAAGTGGAGATGATTACATTTCTTGGCATGGCGCTGGTAAACTGTCCAGGCTTGGCACCCATACAGAAGAGTTGGTAAGACAACAGCCCGGTAGACCTTCAGTTTTGTCTCCTGCTTGATGCCAGTCCTTTCTCATACCGAGTCACGTAGACGTCCAAAGGCTGCACTGGCCTTGACAATCCTGATGTTAACCTCATCATCTATGTGCACAGCGCGAGACAGAGTACTACCGAGGTAAGTAAACTTGTCAACAGCTGAAAGCTTTTGCCCATTCACAAAGATGGGCTCAGTGTAAGGTTTCCCAGGAGCATGTTGGTATAGGACTTCAGTCTTATTTGTGCTTATTGTTAGGCCGAAATGGTCCATATTGTCCTGTAGATCTTTATTTGAGCCAGCAGCCAGAGCACAGTCATCAGCAAACAAAAGTTCTCGAACAGTGACTTCCTCCACTCTAGTTTTGGCTTGCATCCTCGCAGGTTGAATAGCCCACCGTCAAAACGGTAGATGAAGCTAATTCCAGTGTTGTGATTCTGGAATGAGTCTTGCAGCATGGCAGAAAATACCATGCTGAAGAGCGTTGGCGCTAAAACGCAGCCTTGCTTCACCCCGTTTGTGATTGGGAACGGATCAGAGAGTTCTTGCTGGTCTCTGACGCTGGCCATCATACCATCATGGAGATTGCGCACGATGCCAATGAACTTGTCTGGACACCCATACTTGCCAATGATTTTCCATAGGCCCTCCCGGCTGACTGTCTCGAATGCTTTTGTCAAATCAACGAAAGCCATATATATGTAACGGCGTAAGTAGCGTAGGAGACGTTTGACGGAGACAACACGTATTTATTAACAAATGGGTACTATACAGTACGTAGCACACCCTAACACTGGAAGGGGTAACGGCCCCTTCACCCGGTTCTATCCAAGGCAGTGTCCCTCGGCTAACGTTTCCCCATTAGCTCCTACACTCCTCTAACCCAGACCATCCTATAGAGGCTAACTCACCTGGCCCAGCTTCGGCTCAGGTCCGACCCTCAACCACAGGAGCCTGGCCCTCACAAGGACACAGACCTCGCTGCTCTGAGGTCGCCCCTGGCTTGCCCTGCTCGGCTCTTATAAGAGCAGCGAGACAGGGTAGTCCCAGGGCTAGCTAGCTGGTCTTCAGTCTTCACTGGCTCTTCTGCTCCAACGACTGCCTCGAGCTCTCTCGCGCACCGCGTTATATACCCAACTGGCCCCGAGGGGCAGGGCTGTATGCGGACGTTGATGTAGACACCCCACGCACGGACCGTGATGTAGACACCGCAACGTAATGGCTTGCTACACCCTGGTACGTACCACCTCTACATATAGATCAACATTTTGTTCTTGGCATTTCTCCTGTAACTGCCGGGCAGTAAATACCATCTTTTCTGAAACCACACTGACTCTCAGGTAGCAGACCCTGGTCTAGGTAGGCGGTTCAGAAGGATTCTTGCCAAGATTTTGCCAGCGATTGATAGTATAGAGATGCCTCTATGGTTGTCGCAGGCCTGCCGATTGCCTTTCCTCTTATAGAGATGGATTATAGAGGCATCCTTGAACTCCTGGGGAACGGCTTCTAATTTCCACAGAGACTGGAAGGGGTCGGTCAGTTTCTCGACTAAGCGAGGCCCTCCGGCCTTGTAGATTTCTGCTGGAATGGCATCGGACCCTGGAGCTTTGCCTGATGAGAGGAGGCTTATGGCTTTGCTGGTTTCCTCAATGGATGGTAGAACAGCAAGGGACTGGGTTATTTCCGCTCCTATACAAGCGCTCCCCTCCATTACACTTTGGAAAGACACGGACTCTAACAGCACTTGCCCCTACAGTCTGTCAAGGCTATCCGGGGAGGTCTTTGTCTATCTCTATGAGTGTGTGTGTGTGCGTACACCTGTGGATATAATTTGTCCACGGACGTGGATCGAGTCTCGCGACGCATCTTTACTCGCCGTGCTTTATTAATGAGGAGGGCCTCTTCCCGTTTGGTTTCCTCTGTGCATTTTGATTCCAAAAGCTGTGGACGAAGGCACGCCTGCCCCTCGTGAAAACACTGAGCGAGTCGCGCTTGACGGAGCTCCCTCAGAATGCGCCAGACCAACTCGGAGCGCTTTGCATCTCTCGTCTCAGAACATTTGAAAGGGGTGCAACGCCCACCCCCCCCCACCACCCAGTGGTAGCTGTCCCTGTGCAGGCACAAGGTGACAGAGCACCCGGCCTGCAAACGGGGTGACCAGTCCCCTTGTCTTCCAGAGGCGAGCGATCCCGGTCCACCGTTACACCCAGTAGGTTGTACGTCTAAGGGTTTGCCCACCCCTCCCCCTTACTCCTCTTGTTGACCCATCCCCTATTTGTCTTCATCGATGTCGCATTCGGAGAGGGTCCTTCGACAGCCCCTTGCGTGGTGAACCCCTTTCGCGTCGGCCCGGTGTGCACTCTCCGTGAAGTCGCGAAGGGCGTCTGACGTTCGGCAGGTGCGACTGGCCTGTTATACATATGTAATAAAGGACTTCGCCACGCTCCACTTGGTCTCCGTCCACTCTTTATTAGGTCAACACCCGCAGCCCGCTGGTCCCAACACCGAACCAGCTGTGCCTCGCGACGCGCCCCGCACGCGCTCTTCCGTCAGTCTTTCAGCTCCCCTCGCTCCGCACACCGCTGGCCGACGATGTGCTGAGCCCTTGCAGCCACGTGGCTGATGGCGCGGAATCCCTCCGGCCACCCAACGTGGTCCCGCTTCTTCACTCCAACAACTGACCCGGAGCCCTTCCGGGCTCCCACCTGTATCCCCTTCACCACGTGACCCTGTCTCCTCCCTCACACCACGTGCCTTCGAACATTCCAGATCTCGCCCCTCCATCGCGCCCTGCTAGCTCCGCCCCTAGGTTCCGCCCCCACTCACCTCGCTTCCGATTGGACCCGAGGTGAGCGGGGACCTTCATATACGCCCCCATACTAGCTCCGCCCCTCATGTGATTGGCCAAAAGGCCAGCAGCGAACCCCGCTTGCGCTCGCATTACACATGGTAGAGATATATTTTTTTCGGTGGGGGTGGGGGGTTGTTAGATCGCGTAAATATATAAATGCGTCGTTAAACCCGCCACCACCCGACCACGGCCAACTCGTAAGGGGTTGTCACGTGAACAGCACGTGGCCAATTCGTACAGCACCATTGGTTGCGTGTTCGAGAGCCAAACCACAGCATTTACAATGCGAGTAACGGACGTTTCGCCAGTGATTACAAACCAGCTTCGTCAGGCGTCAGCAACCAGATGTATTCATCTTCTTGGTTCTTCCGGTAAAGTCACGTAGAAGGGAAATAATAAAATAATAAAAATAAAACATAATAAAATAATTCTCACGACGTTTCGGCCACAACGGCTGCTTGCGTTGTGGGCGAAACGTCGTGAGAATTATTTTATTATGTTTTATTTTTATTATTTTATTATTTCCATTCTACGTGACTTTACTGAAAGAACCAAGAAGATGAATCCCTGCAGTCACGAAAGCTTTAAATCGAAAATGACGAGCCACTTGAACACGAACACATATTTTTGTGTTTCGATTTAAAGCTTTCATGACTGCAGGGATTCATCTTCTTGGTTCTTTCGGTAAAGTCACGTAGAATGGAAATAATGAAATAATAACACGAACACATTTTTTTGTGTTTCGATTTAAAGCTTTCATGACTGCAGGGATTCATCTTCTTGGTTCTTTCGGTAAAGTCACGTAGAATGGAAATAATAAAATAATAAAAATAAAACATAATAAAATAATTCTCACGACGTTTCGGCCACAACGCTGCGTTGTGGCCGAAACGTCGTGAGAATTATTTTATGTTTTATTTTTATTATTTTATTATTTCCATTCTACGTGACTTTACCGAAAGAACCAAGAAGATGGCTGGTCATTGTTCGCGCCCCCCCTCCACCCCTCCTCTACGGCGCGAGGACTGTCGCTTCCGACTCCGGTTCTGCCGCTGACAGAGCGCTGGGAGCTCGCTATATGCCAGCCAGCCAGCCACGGGGGAAACGGGCTCGACGAAACCTACGGGTCCGCACGCGTGGGAGCGAAATCCATCACGCGTTCGGCGAGAGGCGAGCGTCGTACGGCAGGCAGGGCCGGATCAAGGCACTGGAGTTCTAGATTTGAAGCTTTCGTGACTGCAAGGATTCATATTCTTAGGTTTTTTCGGTAAAGTAACGTAGGAAAAAAATTCAAATAATACAAGTAAAATAAAAATCAAATAAAAAAGAAAAATCACGACGTTTCGGAGGCAACACAAGCTTCCGTCCTGAAGACGGAAGCTTGTGTTGCCACCGAAACGTCGTGATTTTTATTTTATTTTTATTTTACTTTTATAAAAAATTTATTTTTACCTACGTGACTTTACCGAAAAAAACCTAAGAGTATAAAGGCACGGGAGCTGTTAGGGGCTGTAGCCCAGGGGCCACCGCAAGCTGGACAGCCTCCAGAGATGAAGTGAAAAATTCGTTTCATTTGTGTGGACGGTGAATTGTATTTGTTTGCTAGCCTTGTAAAAAAAAAACACAATTTTTTTTATTTCTTTTACTTTGTTTTCCTTTTGAAAATATTACTGGGGGATTCTAGATTTGAAGTGTTCGTGACTGCAATGATCCATACTCTTTGGTTCTTTTGGTAAAGTCATGTTTTGTGAAGTGCTGAGAATAACTCGGCGTGTTGTTTTTCGAAGGCCTGAGAGTTGTCCAAAAAAACCAAAAGGACGCATTTATTCTCGGAAATGTGTTGTTTGCTTTCTGCAAAGGGGTTTCGCAGGGTCCATGGGACGCGTATTAAAAACGTTGGATTTGACAACCGCGAGAGAAAGGGAGAGACAGAACCCACACGCTGCCGAGACAAGAGAGGCACACACGGATTGTTTTTCGCCTTCCGTCGGCCACAATCGGCGCGCATGGGGCAGGGGGGGGCCCACGCCACGAGCAGACTTTATCCGCCACCGCGGCGAGAGCCCCTACGAAAAAAAAATACCGACAGAGACCACGCGTTGAGACGCCAAAGGGGGGGGGGGGGTGAGGGGGAGGTGCAGTTCCGAGCGCGCTCCGAACGTCGCCAGCGGAGTTGCACGCTCTGAGATTTTGGAAAGCGAGAGGCGATTTTTTTGGTTCGGGACGGCACCGCTGCCGATTTGCCATTCGCTCGCGCGGCTAGAATATCGACGCCGTCAACCCTCTCTTTATTTTTTTTATTTTTTACGATCAGTGGAAACAATACGATGATCGGTGTATTCGGCACTTTGCTACGTTCATCATTTCGTAATTTGTTTTACTTAGCTTTATGTAAAACCCCCACCTCTCGCTCACTCTCTCGCTCACTCTCTCGCTCACTTTCTCGCTCACTCTCTTGCTCTCTCTCGTTCTGCACGCAGCCCTTCTTGCAGTACGACGGCCTCCGACGGGTAGCTCATATCAGCATGCAGAGCTCCCCGTCATCTGCCACCGAGCACACGGCCTCCTCCATCGCCCACTGCTCCTTGAAGGCCGGCACGGCGTGCGTCAGCCGCGCATGGCGGAACTCCAGCCCACACACCCTGGCTCCGACCAGAGCGCGGAAGATGTCCAGGGCTGTTGGCCGTCAACCCTCTCTGGCGCAGGGGGGGGCAAGTGTCCTTTTCGCAAACCCCCCCAAAATTGTCCAGGTATAAGCGTTGAAGCGTTAAACAGTGATGGGATGTACAGGGGTGGGGGCAGTGTCGGATTATCGTAGTAGCAAAAGTAGCTACATATGTAGTAGCTACTACACGTGTCGCTACTACACATGGCCTCCGCGCTAAATGCTTTTAAGCTATCAATTCCGGTTCATTGATTCTGCACTTGCTCTATTGCTAGAGTACTATACCGCCTTCCAACTTTTATTAACGACTGGGTGTGTAAGGTTAGCGATTTTTTTGTGTTAGCTGGCTCTATAGTAAATAAAAAATACAATTACAGTACTTTATTATGCAAGTAACAAATGTGTGTTTTAATGTTTACGTGTTTTTTTTTTCATTTAGGGCCCCTTTATAACATACTCTGCTACAGGCCCCGCACTTAGCTTCATCCGGCACTGGGTGGGGGGTGGGTAGCAAGGGTGTGGAGGGGCTATTCGAACAAAATAGGAAATGTTTAAACACGTGGTCGGAAACTTGATACGTACCTATCTATGTTTCGAACTTCTTTCGTGCCGTACGAGGCAAACCGTGCCAATCGGAGGTAGGCGCGGTACACGATTTAAACCGGTGCGTATCACCGCCGTTGCACATTCCTTTTCCTGGTGGAGTAAGAACGCGCCGTGCACGCACGTGAACGTTCGACTATACATACAGACGAACGAACGACCGACGATGACGACTACATAACCGGTGCTTCTCAACCCTTTAAACCAGGGGTGGGGAACGTCCATGCCCGCGAGCCGTATAAGGCCCGCGAAATTATTTGGGTCTGGCCCTGCCAAGGCAACCGCAGGCGGGACTCGAAATTCAATACATCTAGGAGCAAACCTGGAAAAGCAGTTGCGAGTAGCAACATCAATCAATCAATCAATACCAGCTAACATCACACGCCTCGCCATAGAGAAGCAGTTCCAGCCCATCGCATTAGGGGTGAGTTAATTAAATGTTTGACCAAATATAACAACGGGCTAACTTTCAAGTTGATAATTTTGTATGGCCCGCGAATGATGTTAGAAACATCCAAATAGTCCTTGGCAGAAAAAAAACGTTCCCCACTCCTGCAAGTTTAAACCCTGGGGGTGGCGTGGAAAGCCGCGCGCTCTGCTTGGTCCAGCGGCGGTGGCGGCCAGCTGAGGACACCATCGCAGCCTCCCATCACCTCCTCGTAAAACACCCGGGGGGGGGGAGGATGTGTAGCCGGTCGCTCTCCCCCCAATTTAGACGGTGACTGGAACGACTCCGCGGTTCGAGTCGTGGGGGGACACTGTGCGTGCCCTCCCCCGGTCATGTCACCTACTCCGGGAGTTGTGTACGCATAATTCTAGATTTGAGGCATTCGTGACTGCAATGATTCATATTCTTAGGTGTTTTCGGTAAAGTCACGTAGGTAAAAACATTAAAAAGTAAAATAAAATAAGAATCACGACGTTTCGGAGGCAACACAAGCTTCCGTCTTCAGGTGGTACCGTCACAGCCACGACAGCTGTATCAAGTAAATGAGAGATTGCAGAAGCTACCACTCCGTTTATATAATGGTTGGAGAAGGTGGTGGGGCAAGGGCCGCATACTTATTATTAATATGGTAAGGTGAGGCTTGAGACTAAGAATAGACTGCATAACAAAGGCTGAGCCTTTGTTAGGCTGAGCCTTTGTTATGGAGAGGTGCGGTTTGTGACAACCTGTGACAGGGAGACCACCACTAAACATGGTAAAACTGTAATGGTTGTCTGTCAAATAAGATTGGCAAATAAGTGTAATTAAATCTTTTTTGCATGGTTAATCACATCTTTCCAATGATTACTCAGTTTGTAACCGTCATCACGGTTGAAATTA